GGAATAGCCTCCCCCTTGAAATGAGCGCTCACCCTAACAGCCTTTTGGAAGCTAGTGAGAACAGAGTTTTTCCACGGACCATTTTGAGGAGGATGGTAGGTGCTATTTGAGCTATTATATTGTTATAATGGTGGTTTTGGTTTGTGTTTTCTTCTTTAATTGTTATAGTGCTATAAATTACTTGGAGTCCATTCATATTGCAGCAGAATATAAACGAAATCATTTCATTAATAATTTCTACATCTCTGTCTCTCATGTGCAAACAATGGATTCACCTAATGTGCTAACCCACAATATAGTTTGTTTGGTTTGAGCTTAGCATGTTAAGTGAATCCAGTCTTTGTGATTCAATCAACAAATCACTGTTAAAACAAACCATGGATTAGCATGATGTGTGAACCAAACCTTCTCTGTGCCAGTTCCATCATATTAGACTTTTACAGTTGGTCTGGAGACTTCATGGTGAAGCCTGTATCTTTATATTGAACTCTTAGCCCCAGGTACTCTTAAGGGCAAGGAAAGGGCATCTCCTTTTCCCAAAGAGCAAATAGACAAGTATGCATAACTGGTATGCTGTTCATGGGTAGTTTAAGAACTATTTTGCTGAAGAAGTAAAGTGTTATTTTTTTTTAAAAAAAACTATAGCTTTCAAGGTGTTGCTGGTCCTCAGTGATGCTCCTGACCATACTGTTTGCACATCCAAATACTGGAGTAGTGGCTTGTTTTTTTTCTTCCTCCAACCACACCTCATTCCTTCAGGATAAACTGCTATGAAAGCTTTTAAAAGCTAATACAGTATACAAGTTGCAGATTACACATACTGACAGCATCCCAAATCTGACTTTAAAGGATGCATGGAAAGGATACACCATTGCTCATGCTCACGATTATCTAGGAATCTTTGGAGAAAACAAAACAACTCAACCTCAGTGCTCTCAAGAGGAAATGTTGGTGCAAGATTGTTAATGATTTGATTGGTTTTTATGTTGCTGATAAGATATTCTACATTGTTTGGATGGATCCAAAGACATGCAAACAAATGGTGTTAATCGCCTCTTGTATTTCCATTCTCAGGATCTAAGTGAAGAGGAAATTCGAGAGCTGATTGCATCATCAAGCAATGATGAAGATAATTAAGAAAAGCAAGATGAAGATCTCAAACTGAAGTTGTTTTTATCAAATTTAGATATGCTACTGCTGTCTCCAGCTATTTTGGCTCGTGAGGTAATAGAGACTAATTCTTTTATACAGTGCAGCCTAAAGTTTAGAAATGAAATTAATGGTATTTTGATGCTATATAAAAAGCTGCAGAAGGATTTAAGGAAAAGTAAGCAGCCAGCTCTCTAGACAAAACTGAAACTCCAACAGCACAGCCTGTGTTAACATCAGTAGCAGCAGCAGAATATTAAAGACCTTTCCGTTTTGAAAGAGGAAGAAATTATTTTCAAGGTCTTACCTTCTCTATCCTCAACATTGTTGTTGCCATCTTCAGGAGTTTCAGAAACATCAAAATAATAAGTAGGGGCCTTGAAACAGCCACATGAATAGTGATGGTTTAGCATGCCCAGTGATTACAAGACACTGCATTGTGAGAAGAGGAATAGAAAACTGGGACAAATATCACATGGGCTGGCCCTGGTATTTTTAATCCTCTTATTTATATTTAAGTTTGCATAATCATGACACGTATCAATTTTGATGTGTATAGAGGGATACATATCACACTTATGAAGCTCTTTTTTAGACGGTTTATAATGCATTGATTCAACATATCAGTGCATGTTTTTAGTTCATTATGTTTTTGTGGTTTTATTGATTTTATATGCTTTTAATTAGGTTTATTGTGGAAGTTTTAGTTATTTTTTTATGTCTGGTAAACCTCAGAATATTTGACTTTTATATTTGAATATAAATTAAAAAATTAATGTACATAATTCAGCGTCCCTAGAGCTGGCATTGGACAAAAATCCCCTTTATCCCTATATACTGGCATAGCTATTGACTATGTACACTGGATCTGATGGAAGTTCTAATCCAACAAAATTACTTGAGGAGGCAGAAATACACAGAGACAAGTCTGAGATCCATTACAAAAAGTTGTAATTACTGTACTTCCTAGCAGCTCTGCTTCTAAGATCCTGGATATGCTTATCCATAAATATTATGGTAAGCTGTTAGAAACAGGACTATTCACTTCCCAGTCCTCTTTTTTTTAAAATATAATTTAATACTCAACTTTGTGTAGCTTGCTCTTTAAGGAGAGTTCATCTTAATTCTGAAGTTTAATCTTGGTAGAAGATTTATGATTTTCTCTCCCGTTAGGTTTCCTTTAAAATACTTTTGTGTAATTCTGTAAAGCCTGTGGTTTCCAGGTACGCCATTCCTTCCCTCCTGTTCTTCAGTGTTCCTGGTTTGGCTTTGTGTTTTGCCAGCACGCTGTATCCAAGCCTACTATGTGAAAGTACGATCTAAGTTCCCAGCTGAGGCTGACCCTTTCTCAGTGCTCTTTGTTTTTCCTGTACTAATGTATTAGCTCAAGGATTGAATTACTACTACGATTAGTTGCAATGCTAAATGTCCAGGGTATGTTAGATTTCATTACAGTATTTTGCACAAGATTTATTGACAATAGACTTATTATTCAGACTCCTGGAACTGGTATGATATGATCCTGATCTTTTTAGAAAACATTGTCTATTTTGTTCAGTGTTCTATCAGAAGGTATAACTGTAGTGTTTCCCATCAAAAATGATCCTTCAGCTTCCACAGCAACATAAAAGGGGGACAATTTCCAAAAAGTTGGTTTCTAAAGCTCACATGGACATTTGTGTACATTGCTAATACCTCTCTGCCTAAAAACATAGCTGATACCTCACTTCAGAATTCCAAGCATACCCACCATAACACTACTCTACATTCATCAAGTTAAGCATAATATAGTTCATCTTATTTTGACCTGGCTCGTTGTGTGATTCCAGCATTGTAGTTTGAAACTATGGCTTATGCGTATTATGTGAATTCAAAAACACAGTTGCAAACTGGCAAACGAACCACATTTGTTTTAGCTTTCCAAACACTGCTAAGGAATGATTAAGATCCATGAAGCTGTATGGAACTCCAGGTAATGAGGAACAACAGGCTGATTCAGGGCAGTAGCCCCTCCAGTCTCTGCTTGCTCAAGGAGGATAGAATGTTTGGGGTGCAGGAGTGGAATGGTGGACCAGATTTTAGGAAGAGGGGTAAGGTGGTAGCAAGAATGAAGTGCAGGATGCGACATCCTACTGAAATGCTCCTTGGCTAAGTGGCTGGCAGATCAGCAGGTCATATTTTGGTCACTTGACTTGCATTTGGCAAAGGATGGGTGGGTGAGAGAGATCTGTAGGAGCTGAGCAGCTGATCCACATACCATTTTTGTTGATAAACCTGAGGAGGGCATTGTAGGTTGAGCCTAGGGTGGGATTCTCCCTGGAAGCTTATGTATGGGCTAGGGGATTCCAGCATGTGCATATGGATGGAGAGGATGAGGAAATGATGGCTAAGATGTCCCAGCTATCTCTCCAGAGCAGCTGGGCATTGATTAGATGAGTAATAGGCAATTGTTCAGGAAGAGCTGGGGCAACATGAAGAAATCACACTCCGAGTTGGAATACAACAATGGGAAAAGGCAAACAAAGGGGGATAAGACCAGAACTATCCTGCCTGGACATGCTCCAGAATCCAAAAAAGCATTCTGTCCAATGAAGATGCAAGTTGGATAGGAGGACATCCCTAAAAGAGAAGCGGCATTCATCCCATACCTACAGTAAGTATGCTACGGAAGGCAGCGCCAAGCTGTGTTGGGAGTGGGAGTGCAGCCCTGACAGAGCCATTTCAGCAGTGGAGGAGCTGCAGGCACAGACGCTACTTGGAAGCAATATATGTAGACAAGACGGGAGATAGTACATGCAACCTGTGGCAGTGGTGGCACCATGGTAGGTGGTTCAGCTGCAGCAGCAGTGGCAGCCATTCCGCCTCAGGTGTCAATGCCAGATAGCATCGAAAGGTGAAATAACTGGCAGATGCTGAGCCAGAACACAGATCTTGGTCCATATCCCTATCATACCCCCCACCTGTATACCACTGACTATCAGAAGGTCTCCTTGCATTTCTCTGCTCTGGGTGTAGAGTCTGTGGCAGGCAGATGGGCCGCTAATCTCTCCATACGCGCATTTTTGGCGGAAGGCAGGTTTCTAATGCTCTTCCACGGCCTCTGAGTCGCGCTACACGACGCTGCTCTACACTTCCCCTCCGCTTACAATTTCTGCCTCTCACAATTGACCCCTGCTTCCCCCATGGCTGATCGGTTCTGGATGCTGTGCGAACACTGACGTTATCAGAACATACCGGTCACGACAGAGCACTGACTAATCGGCTATAAATGGGCTCTCAAATGGAGGCGTGAATCGTAAAAAAATGGGAGGAAAAAGAAGAGATGGCGGGCTTCGGAACAGGCCGCCAAAAACATTTTTGTTGTGGAAATCCTCTAGCCGTAGATTGACAGAAGGCTTTCCTCAGGGAAAGCACTCTGCATATGCTCAAAACTCGCACACAAGTACTAACAGCCTTGGCAAGGAAAGAGCAAGCCCCATTGAACGCCGTGGGGCGTTCCTAGTCACCATTCGGAGAATTGCGAAAGGCGGGAAGTTCCGGATGTGCCGTTGCCTGAGCAACCGAAGAAAGACGCTCACCAAAGAACTCCCCTGCCCCCTCAGCGTCCCACGAGCATTCGTAAATCTACGTCACGAGCCACCATGGTAACGACTTGGACGCAGGATCCAACGGAGAAGGAGAGCTACGTTAACAGATTATCTGGATTTCCCGTGACCCTTCTAGCCGAATCCGCGTTCTCTCTATGGTAAAGCGTGTTGTTTTCAACCCTTCACTCTTCCTGTGTTGATGACGAAGACGGAAGTGAAAGCAGGAAAACAATTTACACCAACGACAAAAACCCGGAAGCGGAAGTGGTGTGAGAAAGCCAGGGAGAGTGAGAGAGGTGGACAGACAAACCCTTTCTCCTGGAAGGAACCCAAGGCCGGGATGGTGAGTGACAGATGCGCCGAGCCGAACGGAGGCCCCTTTTCTTTCCCCGCTCGCGTGGAGACCTTTTCCCCCGTTCAGCCCCCCTTCCCGCCCTTGAGAACGGCTCGTTTTCTGCCCCCGTCCCTTCCTCAAGTGGGACGTCTTGGGTTGCTGGGTCCGGAATCTGGAGGGGGTCTTTTACTTCTCGATCTAGCTCAGGGTACGACTGCTCGGGAGTGAGGCTCGTCCATCAGGCTGCCCCTTGCTTCCCACAAACAGGGTTCAGAAGGCCGCGCGGCAAGTTCTGAAGAGCGCCGAATTTCGCCAAGCGTGGCTTTTCCCGTCGCAGGAGCGTAGCAGGGAAGGAGCCACGTCATGTGAATCAGTTCACTCTGCGTCGGCTTAAGATGCAGGAGGTCTTTAAGGAGTGTAACGCCCTATCTTTGGGATGCGTGCGAGAAGCAGCTCCCGCCTCTCTGCTGGCTTTTCCCCTCCCGCGTCCTCCAATCTGCACATAAGAGTTAGCAGGGAAGACCTTCCAAACCTGCATCTTCCCGCACCAATATCTTTAGCTATTCAATAACGTTGCTCCCTCTGTCGATTTTTCCTTTTGTACCTAAGCCACAGAAAGTATCGCACCTCAGAGCTTTTGCTTTTAATGCAAAAAATCCTATATTTAATGGCATTTCTAGTTACTTGGTTGCAAGCCTGAAAGATACTGCTAAATGAGACCACAGCAAATGTTCAGTTGTAGGAATTTTTCCTATTCAGGTATGACCATCCCACATTTATCTTGTTCTCTACTAGATACATGTTTTCCTGCTTATCCTGATCCATGTTCAAAGGAATGCACATTTTGAGGAAGGTTCAGCATATTTGCAGACAAACTGGATAGTATTCACTCTCAGTTTAAAAATCAGGGCTCCAGGGAATAGGATATAAAATAGTTCAGGTACTACTGGAATATAATTATTAAAGTGACCTGGCCTTTTCCAAATGTAGCAAAGACAGCTATAAAAGTATGTCTTCTTTTGTGAGACCACAAAATTTTGCCAGGTGGCTTATCTAAAATTTAAAGAACAAGGGAAGGTTGAATTACATAATTACATAATTAGTTTTTGAGAGTTAGCTGTGCTGTGGAAAGAGTTAGGTTCTTGCATGAAACCTTTCAGTAACTAGATACAGATGTATGATTTACTGAATAAGTTGATAGTTGGATGGTACAGTTCTTTTTTGCGGTTTTGTCATTTTGGAAATGCAAATATGTCACTGGTTTGAAAAGACATGCTTGGACTGAAAGCTCCCTCCATGTAAAACCTTAAAAGTTTTTCCCTGATGTGCAGGTGCTCTGTGCAAAAATGCTTCCAAGCAAGGGAAATACTATATAAGAATTGTACTGCACAAGTTCATGAGGTAGGCATGATCTCTTGTTTATCTATTCTAGAGGATGGCTAACTTAATCTTAAATTTGTTAGAAACATCATTTTAGCAGATGTATTTAAATTTACAAAACAAGCATAACTTTCAGGAGTATGCATTCTTGATCAAAAATATAGTGTCCTGCAAATTCAGATCACAATGTACTATACTTAGTCCAGCATTCTTTGCAAAAGTCTCAATAACCAGCAAGGGGTTGTTCATCTAATGGAAGTTTGCCAATGTACTGCAGTTTATTTTTTACCAATCTCTGTTTTTTCCTTGAGACTGTACTGCCCAGACTAGGCTATACAGAAGTATGGCGGTTGAGTCTTGAATGGTGGTAAGATTTATCAAACCATTATGACCTAATCATCTCCACATCCATGTAATAAATACAAGATGGTGCTTGGGTTACAGATTCAATATGAGAATTTATTTTGTCCAAAGACATTTCAGAAAAGTATTTAGCTTTGCCTTAACTAAGAAACAGTGCTTATTTCTAGCTAGCCCAATTATCTAGAAAGCTTTGCTTCAGCTACCTGAAAATGAGAAATGTGTGCAAGCTGTACATCATTCTTTTATGCAATTGTTTGTTCCTTGTTTCCACTGTTTCTCCAATTATGTTTCTGATGGAAAAATTGCTCTCTCCATTATGCCATTTATAAAATATTCAGACTCTCCTATTATTCTGGTCTTTAGGAGTAGCATCTTAAGCCTATAAGCATGTATGAAATGATCAAATATGTAAAGGTGTTAGCAGTTAGTCAAAGGTAAAGAAAAAACCTCTGTTGATTAATAAGAAACATGCACCAAAAGTAAATAATTGGTTTGTAAGAAAATCCCTGTAAGAACATTATTTATGCAGGTTGTTTCTTCCCTATACCTTATAATAACTGTTCTGTTTCTCCCTCTTCAGGTCATAAAGCCGCTGGTACTAACAGCAACCCAATCCTGGCACTGGATGTGTTGTTATCCAGCCCCACCTGGGCGGTCATGAACGGAAGTGCAGTGCCATTGTCACCAGTAGGGGGAGGGATGGTGGGAGAACCTGCCTCTCTCCCCTCCCTGGGTTGGCGGGAATTCTGCGAAGTCCACGCTCGTGCTGCTGCAGTTGATTTTGCCCGTCGTTTCCGGACCTTCCTTGGTGAGAACCCCCAGTTTGCTACACCAGGAGCCGAAGCTGCTTTCTCACACCGCTTTGCAGAGCACTTCCTAGAACATTTTGAGGCTGAAGTGAGCCGAGCTTACACCAGTGACTCGCCACCCCGGTGTGACATTGCCCCTTTCACTGGTTGTTCTTCTGCACGAGACCTCTCTGAGACCTGCAGTGACTCATCTGTTGCTTCCCCTGTTGAGCCTCCATTGGGCCCACCCTCTGGCCTCTCTAGCAGCCAGTCCCGCAGCTCTGAAGATGTTTCTACTGTGGCAGCAGTCACTGCTACAAAGCCAAAGCTGAAGAAGCGCTTTTCTTTGCGCAATGTTAGCCGCAGCGTCCGAGGTAGCGTACGCGGCATTCTGCAGTGGAAGACCTCAGCCGAGTCATCTTCTGGTGGTGGAGATGGGACGCCTACTGGAGCCAACAGCAATTCCAACTCTTCGGGGGGGGGTGACTCAGACCGCTGGACTCACCGATTTGAACGTCTTCGGCTCAACAAAGCCTCCCCAGCCTCTCTCCGAGTAGAACTGGCTAGTGTGCGCCGTGAAGGCCTACTGAACTACATTGTAGCTGATGATGGGTCAGGCGGGGGCAGTAGGACACGCTGGCAGAAATGCCGTCTTCTCCTGCGCAAGGCAGGGAAGGGAGAAGGGGAGGGTTACCTGTTGGAGTTCTACATCCCACCAAAGGTGAGCACTGAGTCATTGTGTTCAGGCAAGAGAGAAATCATGGGGAGAGGTCAGAAGCTTGGGGTTCCTGATTTAGGCCATGCAAATATTGTCATAACAGTCTCTTTTCTACCCCAACCATCAGGCAACAAAGCCACGGGTCAGCATTGCTTGCTCCTGCGTAATGGATGTGCGGACAACAACTCCACTGGAGATGCCAGACAAGGAGAACACCTTTGTACTTAAGGTCAGAAAAAGATTGATGGGGTAGAGTTAAGATTTGGTAATAATTGAAACATTACTAGTTATGTATCTAGAACCAAGGTATGTGTAGAACAACCTCCTCTTTTGTTTCTTGAAGAATTAGAATGCTTTCCATCACTAACCTCTGGTTGGAGAATGTGTTTAGCAGTTGTCTGCTTCTTGCCTCTCATGTTTTCATAAAAGAAAATTAATGGTCCCTTCTATCCTCCCTCTCCAGCAGTGCTGGACTATCTTCCTACATTTGGCAGTGGTGATGTTTCTGAGCAGATTTACTCCTTCCAAACTTTCCTATGTCCTTGGGAGGAAAGGAATCCATCTCTCCTTTTGCAGAGGAGACTGTATAAAATGGCTTCTTAAATGAAATGACACTTTATGGCTAGATCAGTATGTGTTGGAGGGAGGAATTTGGGTCCTCAGTGGTTCTTATATTTTAAATCCATCGAGAATTCAGTCAGTGGAATGTAGATAACCACAAAAGCATCTGGCAAAGAATTCAAGGCTGAATGAGGGGAGGGGTAAGCAGCTGCTAAAGGATCTTTCCAGTTGCTGACTTCGATCAGTGTTGGTGCCCTTCTATCAAAGGCCAAACATGGAACTCCTGATCTTTTTTATGTATGTTATCACCTTAAGATAGGAGTAGATGAATTAAGTCCTTGGATTTGAATTGTGCTTGTGTGCATGCATGATTCTTGAAAATGTTTTTCAATCTTGGATACCATGTTTGCAATAAACTGTTCCATAACATCAGTTGAGTTTGGGGTCTACCCTCTCTTCTCACTGGCATAAGTCTATCATTCCTCTTGGCTTTTCAGAGGGAAACAGAGCTCTAGAATAAAACCTATCCTGGGATGTTGTATATTTATTAGTTTTTCCCCTTCCTCCAAGCTTTCAAGTTCCTTGGAGTACATCCTTGAGACTGTTGACTCGCTGCAGATGCGGTCATGGTTGGCTGACATTCAGGAATGCATGGGCCTGGGGTAAGTTGCCCTACGCATCAAGAAAGGCCATAGCTCAGTGGCGGAATACATAATGCATAGGTTGAAAGTCCCAGATTCAGTCTCCAAGTAAAGAGAGAACAGTTATAAGGCCTAACAAAAACTTGGCAGGGGGCCAAGACTTTGCCTCTGTAGAGTTGCTGCTTCTGTAGAGTAAATCAGGTGTGGGAAATGTGTAACTGTTCAGATGTTTAGACAACAGCTCCATCATCTCTCATCATTGGCAATGCTGGTTTGGTCTCTTCCCCACGCACTGAGGATATAATAAAAGAATATGATTCATTATCCAATTTTATATAAAGCAGTTTCTCATGAGAGCTTGTGGGAAGAAGATTAGGGTAAGAGTGAGAGATAGAACAGGTATGTAGGAATTAACAATAATGTTCTTACTATACATTAATTGAACAGTGTTGCAACCCCGAGATTCGGATGGCTGTGGAACAGGTACACGATCCTTGCTCCTTAAAACAAGCAATCAGACAAAAGCTCCAGGTCATCTTGGCTTTCTATTTCCAACAGTAGAAGGCTAATGCCTCTGGAAAACTCACAAACAGGGCTTAATATTGTGGGAAGAATGCTGTGTAGTCTGTGGTGGCAAAAATCAGTGGCAGCACCTTTTCTAACTAACACATACTGTTAAAAGGCATAAGCTTTTGTGAGTTGCAGCTCACTTCATCAGATGCATAGAATGGCTTGACTGATATAGGACAAGAGCTAGAACCTTCCTTTGCTGTTTGTTTGTTGCCAACGTTAAATGGTCAGATATTTGTTGTCCTGGAATATGGAAACATTGCTAGTTGTACTTGTCTCCACAGAGAAAGCACTGATAGCCTGGAACAGCCATGCATGAACCACTCAGATAGCATGCCCAGCCGGGAACTTCCCATGGTGCCGAGCGAGAGCAATGAACAGCTCAGCCAAGGTGTGTATTTGCCACAGATGTACGCCCACACCATTATGCCCTCCTGATCCCTTGGCAAAACTTTCAGCTAAAGAGGCCTTCCAGCGACATCTTTGTGTGCAGGCAGTCTGTCTGCATTAGAGCATAGAATGCTTCTCCCAAGGATGGTATTCTCTGAAAGGGTGTATCATGCAACATCTTCTTCACATGCTTCCTTGTTCTCTTAGCCAGCAAGCATAGAAGTTCTGCCATATATACTTGTGAATAAGCCAAGAGTTTTAGGTGCCAAAAATGCACCCCAAAAATTGGGTTCCGCTTATACGGTAAGTACTTGCATATCCTGTGTATTTTCGTGTATAAGCCCATCCGCAGATAATCTCTCTCTCAAATTTTTAACCAATATACATGAAAAATGGATAATCTCTGAATTTCCCATGGATAAGCCAATTGTGAAAATTAAAATACACGAATATTTTGAGGGTTGGCTTATCCGCTAGTGGCGCATTTTTCACGGTATTTTGTTTAAAAATTCAAAATTCGGCTTATCTTCTGATGGGCTTATCTGCGAATATATATGGTAATTTTAGGTTGTAATCTTGTCAGATCAGAGACCTGGCTCCTTCTGCTATGTAAAATACCATTTACAGTAATGATACTATATTTATTGGAATTACAGTATATGTCTTTTCAGTGACTACTTCATGAATGTTATACGAACCCCACATTCACCAGCCAGGGAATGTATATTTAAAGATACATGCTGATTTTGTTAATTAAGTGTACAAACATAGTGAAGTGAAACTTTCCATTAAGCTTTAGCCAGCTGAGATGAGATGACAAGGCCCTCTCCATTGGCCTGGCTGGAATCAATTACCATTTGATTTATTCTTGTCCCAAACTGTATTTTGTGGCACCTAGTAGGTCTAGATGTAGCTGGTTGAAAGATTAGATGCTGAGGCCCGTTATGCAGGCCTTGCTGGAATTAAAGGCACTTAGCTCTTTCTCCTTTTCCATAATTATATCCTGATGTGATTATTCCATTAGTATCATTATGAAACTAGTTTTTTAAAATTCCTTTATCTTTTCTGTCTTTGCTATCTGAGATTGACTAAATTAAAGTAACAGTGAATATTGATAGAAGAATGGCAGATAAATGACTTTTATATGAAGCTGAGAACTGTCTTAAACAGAGCAAGCATCACAGTATCTTTCTGAAGCCTCTATCTAGATCAGTTTACCAGATACACTAGATACCAGCCCATAGAGATTTCTCCTAAGCCACTTAAACATTGGATGGAATAAAAAAAATTAAAAACTTCAGTTTTTTGACCAAGAAGAATTTTCTTGATTGTTTAAAAATGAGTGTGCTAAAGTAGTTGGAGCCATCACAGTGGTGTGATTGTGAGATCAGGATCAGGATGGAGACCCAAGTTCAAATCCCCAGGCAGATAAGAAGCTTGTTGTGTGACCTTGAGGCAGTAAATCCCAGTTGAATCTTTGTACCTTACAGGACGCTGTGACAATCCAGCAATAGCTGAGTACCAGTAAGATTTATTTAGTATGAGTCTGATTTATTTTTTTACACATTATACCAAAAACAGCTTTCAGGCACAAACTAAACATTCGAGATAAGCACATGAGAAAAATGCAAACTAGTAGTAAAGCCAGGATTTGATATTTACGAAAATATTTGAAACCTTTAAACAAAACTTTGGTAAAAACCTACTTAACCCTCAAGAAAAATAGGTAAAGATTAAAAAAAATCCCTGGAGTCAAGCTTATTGGCAATAACATTGAAGTGCTTTTCCACTGTTGTCTTCTGGGATTTCCTGATGGTCTCCCATCCAAGTAATAATCAGCTCTTCGTTTTCTTCAGAATCTGCCAAGGTCAGCGAGGTGCTGCTGTTTGCTGTAGATGAAGAAAAATGGAAATAAGCACAAGCATATTGTCAGGTTCAACCCAAAGAATTCCATGAGACAATGCAAATACAGTTCTCTTGCGTTTATTAGCTTCCACCTCAAGACAGAAT